GGTAAGGTAAGTGTTTTCATATGGGGTGGTTGAGATCTCCCACCCAGAGCAAGGAACTTTCAAAGTCAATCGACACCGCCTCAAACGTTACCTTGGAGGAAAGGTAATGCCCCAAAAGGAGGCGGTGTTCCTGCAAGATGCCTAGAATGAAGTCTCTATCTGGCTTAATACATTAAATTAGCGCTTGTTGGGAGGCAACCCAATGGAGGTTAGCAAATTTCTCTTTGTCTACTATCGTATTGTTTTATGTAATAACCTCGCCTCGAGCGAGTATGTGTTGTGTTTATGTGCGTGTTTTATGTCTTCTCCTTGGAATGGATGATTGGCTGACTAGGTACCCATGTGAGTTTTGAGCCGATCGTTTTCTTCTTGTGTGCTTAAATCCCTCTTATCATGGCGAGTAACATCACAGTTGTCACTAGTGAGTATGATGGAGGCATAGGATTAGTCCACGCCCAAATGTTGATTGTCCATAAATGTTTTATCCCTAGTCAACCCCTTTGAGCCTTGTGACTTTGGGGGTCGTTCTCTTGTATGAGCTTTTTGCTTATGAGCTTGATGGTGTTTGATAGAATGACCCCCCATCCTTTCTTCGTGTCTATACGTGATTCGTCCTTGTGTCCCAGAGCTCTTGCTTTTGCGTTCCATTGAGGTTCTACATAGAAGGATTGTGTGCGGTTCTTGCTAGGAATGAAAGAGAAAAGAGTAGTGTTGGAGTGAGTTCTTAAAAGAGAGTATTGGTTGTTAAAGGTAATGGGGCAAGGGTTATACTCTCTAGTACCCCCTAAAAAAGAAAAGAAAAGAGAAAAGAAAGAAAAAGAAAATGGAAATGGAAAGAAAAAAGAAAAAGAATTGAAAAAGAGGTAATAAAACAGGGTAATTAAAGTAGAGAGTGCCACAAAAGAATCAAAGAGTATGCTCTAAGTGGGGTTTCTTGGCACTCAAGCCATTGAACCCCCACACTTGTTTTAGAACTCCTTCACTACCAGGTCGAAATGTGATAGCAAGAGTAGACCGAGGAAAAGCGCTTAAAGGATGTTCATGATGAGTGATAGTTTGGAAGGGAGAAGCAAGGTTTTTGGCCGATGCTAGTGGCCATTGTTTGTAGGGAAAGTTCTTAGTCGAAACCATAAAACCTTCGGGTTTAGGGTGAAGATGTAGGACCTCATGTTGTGATTGCCACCACCCAAAAAGCCTTTTCCCCATGTCCAAGACAATTGCCAGTCATTTGAACCCATGTCTAAGACCTCCGGACAAGCTAGTGATGACAACTGTCCCGTGAACTCTAACATTTAAATATAGGGCAAGTATGTTTAAATATTGACTAGGGTCGGTCCGTGCACCCCTATTTCAATTGTTTGAAACATAATCTAGCGAATCGGTTTTGGTTGAAAAGTTTGCTAATTAAAGTAAAGCAAGGCAAAAGTAATGGTTTTGAAAGCTCTATGTGAGAAGGATCACTCGGGTGTCGCTTTCACCTAACTACCACCATGGCACAAGGAATTTAATTAATTGTTACGGGCAAGGTAACCACGAACCGCTAGGAAATGCAACTATGGTCGTAGACCACACTCTCGTTTGCCAAACCAAGGGATACATTATAGGCTACTCAAGTAGCCCTCTTGGTTAAGGCAATCGATGGTTGACTTACTCTCTCACTCAACGCAATGGTTGGTCGACTTAATTGCGCTTAACCAAATTGCTTAATTCAACATAGAGGTTTGTCCTACATTAACCTAGATAGGTGGCTTAAAAAGCCCAAGGAATCCCAGCTCAATTGAGCCTCCCTTGAAAGGGGATTTTCCCTCTAAACTAGGTTAGAATGGCCAATTGGATTGCTAAGCACAAACATGCACAATTAACATGAAAAATATCTCAATCATTGAATTAAACAACACCCATAAACAATCATTCAATTCACACAATAACTACATGGCAAATAGTTAGGGTTTCACAACACCCAAGTGAAAAAGAGTACTACTCCATGCTAGAAAGGGGAAGAACATAAAAGGAAGAGGTAGAAACCATCATGGAGATGCCTCCAATATCCTCTAAGCTTGTGTTGATCTTCTCTTGGAGAGATTCTTCCCAATTCACCACTTGGAGCAAACCTTAGCCTCCCTTCTTTCTTGGTTCGTCATTTCTCTCTCTAAAATCTGAATAAGAAGACACTTTCTCACATTAGGCTCCCCTTCTCTTCCTTTCCGCTCACATTATATACCAAGATCGGGCTCAGTTCACGGTCGTGAACTCTTCAACACGTCCGTGAACACTAAGCGCGATGTCGAAATGCACCGCTTCACCATCAGGAGTTCACGGTTTGGCCTAAATCATCATAGTCTTGTTAACCGTGAACTCGTCCTGCGGTAGTAACTGCCAATTTCTCCCTGGACGCATCGTGATTCACAGTTTTGGGCTTCAGTTCACGACCATAGTGGACCGTGGACTCCCATGCTAACCCGTGAACTCCGCCTGGATCACCCTCTTTGCGATCTTCGCCTCTTTTCGTCCAACTTTCGACTCCGGGGCTGGTTTCACCTGTTGGATCCTGAAACACACTAAAACGCACAAAATCTAGCATAAAACCACCCTTTTAGGAGTTCAAATGCTACAAACGCCCAAGGAAAACGGGGATAAAATGTGTGCAATTAGGCCCAAATCAGTGACTAAGAGAAGGAATGAGAAGCTGAAGGGATTAGCTCTCGAAGAAGCCCAGCTCCTTTCACTGCAGGGGATGGCGTTGGGGTTGGGTTCAGGGCAGATTCTTCTCCCTGTAAGCCTACAACGAAGAAGCGGGTAGAGGCGGTGGGGTCACATATTGTTGCTAGAAGTTGAGAAACAAAGGGGAATCGTGAGAGTTATTTCCGGCGAAACAAGCTAAGAAACCTAAATCGCCCAAGATCTTAATTTGCCATGGCGAATGAATATGGGGGTTGATTGTTTTGGAGAAGAGCTTGTGGTGGCGGATGGAGGCGGGGAGGCGATGGCGGCTGAATTTGGGGGAGCTGGAAGAAGCCATGGTGAATGAATTTGGGGTTGATGAGCCTGAAGAAGAAGCTCGTGGTGGCGGGGAGGATTGAGGAAGAAGTGTAGGGAAAAAGGGTTTCATTTTTCATTTTATTTTAAGTGAGTTGGAAAATAAGTAGAAATAGAAATTATAAATTCCACATCGGATGCCACGTAAATGCTGACTGGATTTTCTGTTAAATACCAATGGTCAACAACAGTCAATACTAACAGAAAAATAGTTCAGGATACAAATGGAATATTGAATAAAATAGAACATAGATGACATTTTGTTAATAGTTCTGATGTTATAGTGATATTAGCCTAAAATATATTAAAGAGGTTTCAGAAACTAACCTATCCCACATCAGTCTTCCTACCCTCCCCACATGTTTCGAAATTGTGATTTTGAATCTTATTTTTTAAATTTCTTTCTCTGCCGTCTTCACTGGAAATCACTTATTAGAGATTTTTAAAATATTTTTTTAATATATTTTCTTCACAATTCCGACGGTCCACGTTCTTTTATAAATATCAAGTTTTTTTTTTTTTTTATATTAGACCCTAATCCCTTTTTTTGATAATTAAGTTTCTCATTGAAGCTCTCTTGACAAACAACCAAGACCGGAAAAAACTAAGGTTCACCGACCTTACAAGACTGAGGTTTTACAGCAAATAGCTAAAATAAAGACAAGCTTTAACTTCATGACAAAATGAAGCGTTACTAATCGAGTAAAACAATAACTCTTCGTTGAACAAGGATACCAGCACCTGCAGCTGCTTCTTAGGGCCACCAAACGATCGACTGCACCTTTCTTTCAAAATTAGTGCCACTGTCCAGCTCCACAGAGATCCATAGATTCGACCGTAAGCACCTCCTTTGATCACTTCTTTACATGCCTGCTACAAACAGTTGTCCCAGCGATTTGGCCAACCATCCATGCACTCTGCCAAAGACATTTGTGAAGAACTGTTTGGCATAACTGCAGCTGCAGAACAAGTAGTCTCGATTCTCAACAGCAGCACCACACATCACAAAAGTGGGATCATCAATCACACCCCAAACGTGCAACCTCTCCCTTGTTTTAATCATGTCTGTCTAGTATAATCAACCAGGAAATGAAACGGTACTTAGGAATAGAAAATTTTGACCACAAACAAAACCCTCCACCACAAATCTTTAGGTTTACGTGGTCTTATGGAATTCCATACCCTTTGACCAGAGTATTTCACCATAATATAATGTGCCCCTCCCATGTTACCTGCCCATCATTGTCAACCTGCATTCGATTCTGAAACCAGCCTCGCATTTTCAGCACTTGCTTCCAGACCCGAGAACCAATACCAGCAGCCTGTAAAGACCATATAGATCGGCCTTTGAGGATTTATTTTTGTTTAAAGTTTTTAATGCTTATCGTTGTTTTTCTTTTTGATGAATTAATTGACCATTGTTAAAATTGTTTGAAATGTGAGATTTTGAAAAAACTTAAAAATTTGTTTGGTTCATCTCATTATTAGTGGATAATACTTCCTCACATGGATTTAGTTTTCATCAGAAATATATATTTCACTTGACATTTACAATTCAAACATTAGATATTAAGAACTGATTCATGTATCAAATGCAAGATGCAAATTTTGACATAAATTTGCATAGTGTGTCTTTCAAAACTTTCTTGAAGAATATGAGTACAAATTAGAAAAGTCCAATCAACATGTGTTCATATAATAAATGTTGGTAGAATTTTTCAAAATTCAATGTCACATTTATTGGCCATAATAATATTCTTAAAATTCATTTGTAGAATTACAAATCACTTAAAAGACTCAAAGCAAGAAAATATATTTTTGAATTATTTTATCAATAAGATAAAATGAAAAACTTACTTAGCCAACAAATTGTGAATAAAGCTAATAAGAAATGAATTATTTTTGTGTGGCAAGCACAAAAAATTAATAACAACTTAACAAGTGATCAAATGTATAATTTATCCAGAAAATAATAAAAAGAAAAATCAAATGTGTAATTTATAAAAAAAAAAACCTCCTCTTTCTAAACGTCAAGCAATTTCTCTCAATTGTCCTAACTCCTAGCGTCCACAACCCCTAATCCTTGAGCAAACAAACACCCACCATTTTCTCTCTCTGTCCTCACCCTTTTCTGGTTTTTCCTTTCTCCTTCTTGTGTTGTTCTTCTGGATGTCAAACGACGATAACTAACAATTTTTTCGATCCGAAACCCCCTTGCCAAAAGGAAACTAGACCCTTTCCCTTCTTCATTGCCTCATTACCATTCCGCTCGTATTCTCTTTGTCGGTCTCCTGAATTCGTACGGCTGTGGGAAGTTGATGATTTCTTTCCTGATTCGTCGACCAAGCACTTGCAGACCATTTCCTGGATTGCAGACCGTTTTAGGGTTTTGATAATCTGAGTACCCGTAGTGTCTTTCCAATTTACCAATCGCTAGGGTTGCTTCTATATTCCTCTTTCGCTTGTAGATTTAAGTCCCGAGTTGTTGGTAATATCAATTTGGATACGAAATTTGGATTGCCCCCAATAATTTTGTTGCCTTGGGGGTCCGTTTTGTTATTGATCGTGGCTCACTAAGTGCCCTAAAGGTCTCTGTTCGTACTGGAGATAAGTTGTGCTAAGTTGTTGCTTTCGTCTCTTTGCTTCGAGTAAAAAAAAAATCTCTCTTTTCAAGCCCCCAAGTAGACTGGTCAGCCACAATCTAGGAGCTTTTGTTTGGCGTATTTGCCATTTCTGTCTTGACGGTTCTGCTATCCTGACTGTTTGTTGGAAGGAGGAAGTTTGGTTTTTTTTTGGGCGGATATTAGCTGCTGGTAGATAAGCTGCAACTGCATGGGCGAGCATGAGACGGCCGATTCACTACTACCTAGTGGGCTTTTGCCAAGTGGCCTACTTCCCAATGAAGCGGCCTCCGTGATGCGAGTGCTTGACTCAGCCAGATGGTCGAAAGCTGAAGAGCGAACCGCGGAACTCATACAGTGCATTAAGCCCAATGAAGCGTCCGAGAACCAACGTAATGCCGTTGCTAGTTATGTGCAGCGGCTCATTATGAAGTGCTTTCCTTGTCAGGTAAATATAGGGTTTGTGGTTAGTCTTTGAATGTACTTAGTGTTAGAGAAGTGAAAAACCAATGGTTAGTCATTGTGTGTATGAAGGTAAAGGGCATTTGTATTATTAGGCTCTCATCCAACTAGCTGTATATACTGATGTGCATTGTTGTATGATAATTATAGGTTGAACTGAATGTGTCCTTGATTATGGACATGGAATGTGAACTTCATCTTATGCCTTAGTGTTTGTGTTTGTGTTTGTGTTTGTGGGATAGTGGGCTTATGTTCTGCAAGATACCAACATCTTTTAGTTGTACAAGTGTAATAATTTCTTGGTGTTCCATATTATTATTAATGTGCCATATCACTCACAGGTCTTCACTTTTGGTTCTGTTCCACTTAAGACTTATTTGCCGGATGGCGATATCGACTTGACAGCCTTCAGTAAGAATCAGGATTTGAAAGATACGTGGGCTCATCAGGTCCGCGATATGCTGGAGAATGAGGAGAAGAATGAGACTGCTGAATTCCAGGTTAAGGAAGTCCAGTATATTCAGGCTGAGGTAGGCATTTATATTGCAGTCCTGTTTTTCCCATTAAATTTTATTACCTTTCCTTCTGATGTTGCTTTGACTGGATTTATGGCAAAGTCCATACTGTTGCTGTTGAATTTTCTTTCTATTATTCTTTCGGGATGTTTTGTTTTGATATCTTCCTGGCAAGTTTTATTTTGAACTCAAAATATGGATGCATAGGACATAATCCTTTTGTATGAATTATGACCAGGTGAAAATTATAAAGTGCCTTGTGGAGAACATTGTAGTAGATATATCATTTAACCAGCTTGGTGGGCTATGCACACTTTGTTTCCTTGAAGAGGTTTGTTAAACATACTCTAGAACTCAATATCTTGCGCATATATGATTATCTGATGAATGTGTCCTTTGTCAACTGTTTGTTTTATGTTTGTGTAGGTTGATCATATGATAAAAGGTGATCATTTATTCAAGCGAAGCATTATTCTTATAAAGGCCTGGTGCTATTATGAGAGCCGTATATTGGGTGCTCACCATGGTCTGATATCCACATATGCACTGGAAACATTGGTTCTCTATATATTCCATGTTTTCAACAAATCGTTTGCTGGACCACTTGAGGTAGGGGTTTTTTTTTTCTTCTCCAACTGGTTAATTCCCTTTATTGTTCATTTAGATAGCTTCCTCTTATAATTTTTGTCTGGTGCATAGGTCCTTTATCGTTTCCTTGAGTTCTTCAGCAAATTTGATTGGGATAACTTCTGTGTCAGCCTCTGGGGTCCAGTACCCATTGGTTCACTTCCAAATGTGACAGGTATCTTAAATTTTTGGAGGCATTGTATTTGCCTATTTTGATGTCAACTCATATGTGACTTAATTGGCCAAAATTTCTGCAGCCGAACCACCCCGAAAGGATAGTGGAAAGTTACTGCTCGCCAAATCATTTCTTGATGCCTGTGGCTCGGTGTATGCCGTTTTTCCGAACGGCCAAGAAAGTAATAGCCAGTCTTTTATCTCTAAACACTTCAATGTCATTGATCCTTTGCGCGTTAACAACAACCTAGGGCGCAGTGTTAGTAAAGGTATTGATCAAGACACTTTTCCTTGTCATATGCTTTTATTTTCTATATCTCGCCAAAACTCATATTGTGCATGCGAAGTAAACAATTGATTAGTGCTTGGTATTTAAATAAGACATCATGTAATGGAAAAAGTGCACCAGACAGGCACTGCTCGACTTGTAATTTTGAGGTAATGCATGGAGTGACGAAGTATCAGTGGCATTGTTCCGGTAAGCCACTAAAGAATGGTCCCAAGTCAACATAGAAAGGAAATAGCAAATCATTTCGAAAGGAGAAAATTTTGTATGTGCTGCAGAAATAAAGTTACTCGAAAAGTTCCTTCACTTATTCCTCTTTTCATTGTAACATTGGTACATCGACGATCGATAATTTGCTCGTGTCCATTACACCATCTCAGGTAACTTCTTCAGGATTCGTAGTGCATTTGCTTTTGGGGCAAAGAAGCTAGCTAGGTTACTTGATTGTGATAGTGAGAACATACACTTCGAAGTGAATCAGTTTTTCCAGAATACTTGGGAAAGACATGGAAGTGGTCATCGTCCTGATGCTCCGCTCAATGGTTTTTGGCAATTAAGACCATTAAATCATGATTACTTGCTTGGCTCAGAGAATGAGAATTTCCGAAATATTATGAGTGCCAAATCTGGAAGTCGTGAAGGTGAAAATGATGCATTGCACGGGCCTTGTATTGTCCCATTCCAGCATGGTAATCATGTCCTAGAAAGCACATCATGGAGTAGTGATGCTGGCACAGTATCTCAAACACAAAGTCAAAAGATTAATGTAAACTACAGTTTAATTTCTGATCAGGCTAGAAGAGAAATCAGCACATCTCAGAGTGTTCATAGCATTTCTAAACCGGACAGCTTGGCAAGTGATTCACAAGGAAGGTATCTTTTTGCAAGGACCCGCTCAAGTCCTGAGCTTACGGATACCTGCAACGAAGTTTCTTCACAAGCAAGGCGTAATAAAGCTCCAGAAAGTGCAAAAGGCCAGACAACAGCAGCTTGGTTTGAAAATATCAACGGGCAAAACACTGAACAGGAAAACTTGTCCAGGCACACTGTTAGATCCTTAGGTGATGATCTTTCATCACTTAGGCACGGTTTGCCTAACAAAAGTCCTTATGCAGCTGAATCCAATAGTTATCTTGAAGATTCTGCCACAGGTGAGGAATTTACTTCTGTTCTAAGTACACAGGGGATGCATCTGGAAGAACAAGATCTTGTCAACATGATGGCTTCTTCCAGTAGCCTTGGTTTTAATGGGCAAGTTCATCTTCCACTAAACTTGGCGTCCAGTCATGTACCATTTCCTATACCACCTTCTGCTCTAGCTTCTATGGGATATCTGCCAAGGAATTTGGGTGGAATGCTACGCACAAATATTCCATTGCTGGAGCCTCCTTGGGATGCAAACACGCAATTTCCCCAGGGGTTGGTTTCTTCTCAACTGACCCACTATTTTCCAGCAATAGGACTGACATCAAGTCCAGAAGGTTCAGTTGAACATTCAAATGAGAATTTTGGTACTGTGGGATCGAACCCTGGGGAGGCTGACAATGATTTTTGGCGTGAACATGAAAGGGTCTCAGTTGGTGGTCTTGAACTTGATAATGGAAGTTTTGAGATTGAAACATCTGATGATAAGCAGCAATCTACATCAGGTAGGTATAACTGTGGTCCTTCATCTAGGATAGGTGGCTCTGGGAACTCTTCTGGAGTTCAGCAGAAGTTCACCAGGGAATCCCTACATTCAAATCGGGGTGATCATGCAGAAAATTTTCCGCACGCAGAGAACAAAGGTGATGACGTTTTCTTTCATGGAAGGCTCACAATTTCAAGTCCGTTTCCTACTGTACCAAGTTATTCTGTAAGAAGTAGAGCTTCTTCTGAGAGTTCATGGGATGGATCATCTGCAAAGATGAAGTCAGCAAGGGAAAAGAGAGGTAGGAAGACCTCTGCTGCTGTGGCATCTGTAGTTCATGTGAAAGGTAAAGGAATCTATGAAAGCTCCTCCAGCCAGGTGGATGGTGACAGAAAAGAGTGTAGCTCACAATTATCAATTAGCCCAGAGATTGTTGAAAGGGGCTTGGTGCCTCCACCTACTGGTGTCTCAAGCCATCCAGTTCCTGGCTTTGAGCTGGCACAAACAAGTGGATCCGATCCAGTAGTGCCTATTCCTCCAGTGCTATTGGGTCATGGCGCACGATTTTATCCTACGGGACCACCTGTTCCATTTGTTACAATGCTTCCCATTTATAACTTCCCAGCTGCAGAGATGGGAACTTCTGAGGCATCTACAAGTCAGTTTGGTTCAGAGAAGGGCATGGATAACATGGATCCTTGTCAGAATGGTGATTTACTTGAGGGACATCATGATCAGTCTGAAGTTCCAAGTCCTAGTAGTACTTCAGTGAAAGTTTCTGCCTCAGTTGAGGCATTTGAGCTCAAGTCTGACATCCTCAATAGTGATTTTGCTAGTCATTGGCAGAACTTGCAATATGGACGGTTTTGTCAATATTCACGACTTCCTACTCCAGTGGCCTGTCCTTCACCTGTTGTGGTACCACCTGTATATGTACAGGGTCGTATCCCATGGGATGGTCCTGGAAGACCTGTTTCGCCGAACATGAATCTTCTCAGTCAGGTTATGGGTTATGGACATCGTATCCTTCCAGTCGCTCCCTTGCAAGCTGTTTCCAACAGACCTGCTGGTTTCTACCAACATTATGTGGACGAGGTGCCAAGATATCGTGGTGGAACTGGAACCTACCTTCCAGACCCTGTAAGATATTTTTTCCCAGATTCGTCTTTATTCTTGTCGTCATTTTTTGTTTGTGTAATCAAGTGGCCTTATTTGATTCTTGGTTAAAATGTTATTCAACTGTGTGCGTTGCTTCGCTTAAGAGGAATGTTTTAAGATAACCTCTTTGGTCCAGTCAATATCCAGAAAGGCTGTGTCGTTTATCTCATTATCTGTGATTTTATATTGTCTGTGATCCAACTTAATCCATATCAATAACCATGTGTTGCAGTTAAGTACTATTGTCCTTTATTTTTATTTCCATCCGTGTTCACATAAATTACTGAAAACTAACAGGCTCTAAGTTGGTAGACGTGGGGAATTTTTTTTGTTTCATTGAACAAAAGATATGGAGATGATATTGATGACTTGTTTTCATTTGTTGCCTGCAGAAAGTATCAGTCAGGGATAGGCATTCCACAAACTCTTCTAGAAAGGCAAACTACTATAATTATGATAGAAGTGAGCACCATGGTGATTATCGAGAAGGGAGCTGGAATAATTCAAAGTCGAGAGCCCCTGGGCGCAGTCACAGTCGCAACCAAGCTGACAAGTCAAGTAGTTCAAGACTAGACAGATTAGCAGGCACAAGTGGGAGCAGCAGATTGGAGAGGACATGGGTCTCACACAGACATGACAACCCCACTTCTCACCAGCAGTCTCAAAATGGCCCTGCCCGAGCAAACATCCAACAGATTGGATCGCCCAATATAGCTTATGGCATGTATCCAATTACATCTATGAATCCGGGTGGATTGCCATCAAATGGGCCAGTTGTCATGTTTTATCCTTATGACCACCAGAATGGTGGTGGTGGTGGTTATGTTTCTGCAGACCAGATTGAGTTTGGTTCCCTTGGAAATGTGGGATTTGCCGAGCTGTCGAATTTGAACGAGGACCAAAGATTTCATAGCAGTGCAGCCGCTCAATTGTCTTCACCAGATCAGCCTTCTTCTCCTCACCATCTTCAGAGGTAGTTTAAAAAATCCTAACCGTGTCAATGTCTGCCAGGCAGTTTATAGCAGTGCAAGATTTCTCTGGGTCTGGAAGTCTGTTGGTCGTCTGTCTGCCTGACAGTGTCCTGAAGCACTACAGTTTCCAGCACAACGAATGGTATAACTATTTGAAAAATGTAGCAATCTTCTTGAATTTTGATTACTCTGCGCATTACTTATTTTTGTGTGCAGAAAGGGTTTGTTGCACTTTGATTTGGTTTGTGATTGATGCATTCGATATTATTATGTTGGCAGGGGAATTTGACTTTTTCTTCCATTGCTGCATGATTTTTTTACCCGGGGTCCCGGAGAGATGGTGGTCAACTGGGGAACACGATGAAGAGGATAATTTCATGCATCTTGCAAAGGACATGGATGGAGGGAGGGAGGATTTCATATGATTGTGGCAGCGCCCCTGCATAATTTAGTGCAAGAAGCTTCTCACAACTCTTACTATAGTGACTGTTTGGTTTCACCCCCACCGATATGATATGACTTATGAGTGACTTATGAGCGCCTTTTCGAGACTTACCCTGTTTGCGGAAGAAGTAGAAGGGAAAATGTAACTTGGTGGCGGCGAATGAGCCACAGCCACCATTGCAGTAGTGTAGTTCATTAATTTCGAAAACAAAACTGTAGGACTTGGGGTAGAAACAGATTGCAACTTAATGATGTAGAAGAAAAAGAATCTGCATGCAAGTTTGGAAAGTACGTGGCGAGAGTTCAATCCTCTGTCGAAGTCGTAAACTTTTCTCCGTCTGTAAGTTGGTGATTCAGTTCCCACGTGATGGATGGTTCTGTATTAGGAGGTTTTGATACGTTAATTAAAGTCAAGCTCGGGTATATGAGGAATGCCTCTTTATGATCTGTTAGTTTTTTAGAATCTAGTTAATACTAAACAGTAAACACGATGATTAGAATAATATTACAACGCTCTCCCTTCTCTCTTCTTTCTCTCTTATGAGTGAACCCTAATTGTTTCTGCTCGGTGGGTCCGGGTGATCTGCCTTAGGCAAATTGGGCGCAATTGTTTGGAGTGGGTGAGGGTAATCGACTTAGATATGTTGCTCTGACGTTGGTTGATGGGGATCTTGTAATACCTCAATCAGTTTGTGATGAAGGTGTTGTTAGGTGGCGCAACTCCCTGGTTGGGCAGTTTTTGTCGAAGCCTTCAAGTTTGTTCAAGATTCGTCGCTGGGCGCAGAGGTTTTGGGGGCGTGATGGTAAGGTTCTGATCACACCTCTGAGTGAAAATTTGTTCATGTTTCATCTACCGTACAACGATTCTTGTAATTGGGTGTTCGAAAATGGACTATGGCATTGTGAGGGTAATCCTTTGTTCGTAAGGAAGTGGGCACCGGGAATTCAGCCGATGGCATTGAACTTGGGGGTTTTGGTCGATCTAGGTTAGTCTTCAAGGGTTGCCCCTTGAGTGTTTGACTGTGCAAGGTCTTAGCAGGGTTGTGAGTAGACTGGGTATGCCTTTATCACTTTATGCATGGACCAAGGTACTAAGATGGGTGCTCATGTGTGTTCTGCCAAAGTTTGCATTGAAATGTCTGCTGGGTTAATAGCATTTTGTACCCCTCTACTATTTTTTTGCACGAACATATCCTTCTAGTTTTAAAATGTAACGAATATACCCTTCTGTCTAATTTTCTATTAAATGACCATTTAATAGGTTGTAAATTGACCAAATTGCCCCTCATTAACTTCTAATTTCAATTATAAATATTTTATTAATGATTTTCTATTCCTAAAAATTAAAATGCTCCCATCCTTCTAACGGGACAAAACCTTTCTTCTTCCTCTCTCCACCGACTCTCCTATTCCGCACCAGGGAAATCCGGCCATAACTCCGGCAGCTTGGAGCAGGCTTCGGCGGTGGAAAATCGCCCTCTTCTCCACGCGAAGACACAACAACATCCCTCGATTGACGATTTCTCCCTCGAGCACGGGAGTTGGTGAATCGACTCCGACTCTCTCTTCCGTTTTGGCACGCAGAAAGGGAAGTTAACGGTGGGCATGAATGATGCATATTATGGGTTTGCTTGATGAGTGAGATTAATATGTTTTTGCTGTAGGCAATTGTGGTAAGAAGGGAGGAAGTGGGAATTTCGATTCCCTCCTCCACGATAGCATATATATACTAATAAATAGTTTCTTCAGGTTTATTCATTTTACTTGCAGGGGTAATAGTCAAAATGGCATATGACGAGGACAGGGGATGGACTGAAACACAAAATGTTTAGGTAGGATTAGGGCTGGGAAAATAGACCAGACCGTTAGAAAAATTGTGGTTCAAACCGTATCGCGGTTTACCGGTCCATGGTCTGTATTATTTAATGATTTGATCTCTTGGTCTGGTCTGTTCTGGTCTAGACCGCGATTTACCGGACCAAACCGTGGACCCAACTGACTTGTCAATATGTGTTAACAGCCCATTCGACCACTCTCCAAACTCCCACAACGACACCCAAATCTCAACCTTAATTTTGTGAATCTCTTACCTCCTTCATTCACAACCACATTTAACTAGAAAGTAGAGATAATAGTGTCTCCATATGACATTATGCTAATGTTTATGACGTTATGGTGCAAGCTGAGATGTTTTTACTTTGTATCTTTGTTATGTACTAAGATTTAGAGTATCAAAATTATTCATGCATGTTAGGATTAATGTTTTAAGGCAAATAACAATTATTTTTGTTGGTTATTGGTTCAATTTTTTGTGTGGTTGACTAAACAAATTATTCATTTTTCGTTGAGTGTGGTCTATCTGGACCAGACCAGACCGAACCAGACCGCACAGGCGTGGTCTGGACCGGACCGTATAGTCTGTGGTCTGGTCTGTGGTCTATCTCGGTCTGGACCGCAGACCGTATATATGGTCTGGTCTGGACCAGACCGCACCGTTTCCCAGCCCTAGGTAGGAAGGTTGTCAACTCGCGGGTTGACCTGCGGGTCGACCCACTTTGAACCTGATCCGGTGAGAAAAACGGGCCGCACACACCCGTTGGGCCGACCGCTACAAGGTACCCGGTTGGAGGTCAAATTGTGTCATTTTTTCTTTGGTTTGCGAAATGCGCCTATTTTCCGATTTTTCTTTTCGCCTAGCTCAATTTTTGGAATACTAAGTTGAACATTTGAATATTTATGTTATATAAGTGTGTTTGAATTTTCACTATATGTTGGATCTATATACGATATGTTATTTTGGTGTAATATTATATATTATAACTCATATGTTAGATATGATTTGATATAATTTATGAGGATAAGTACAATATAATGACTTTTTCCATATTTCCGGGCCAAACTGGGCTAAAACGGTTGACCCATTAACTCTTGACCCACTAGCTCGACCGGGTCCGGGTCAACTCGCGGGTTGACAACCTTGTTAGGTAGATAATTACAAGGACTCGCTTTTATGTTGGATTTTAGCATCTTTCTTTTCTCTTTTCTCTCGGCAGAATCCGCCAGAGGTACTGACGGAGGAGAAGAGGTTGTTGGACTCAATTCTGTCAGAAACCCGGGTTTCTCTTATTAATTATTATTAATTATTAGTAGGACAATTATAATTATAGTTAGTAGAGATTTAGTCGTATTAGGATGATTATTAGGGTTTCCAGTATTTCCCTATAAATATGTACTTTGGGTTTGCGTTATAATCAGTCAAGAAGAATATTAAGAAAAATCTCATAAATCCTAGTTTATCCTCTCAACTCCTAATTTCTATCCTCTCCTAATCCAAGGCTTCAGCCGATTCCCAATTCTATTATGTTCTTTCTCATCTAAATCCCTAATCTTAACTCTAAATCCCAATTTGTTACGAGTACTGGCGGGTGCCGAAGATCAGTCCCTAAAATCCCTAGAAGCGGGGTTCTTTCAGTGGTATCAGAGCCCGGTTGCAGGGACTCGTACTAGAGCCATGTCGAGATTTGAAGTTCCCCGACTCAGAGAACTCACAAATTTTGAAGTCGAAGCTTGAAGAGGTGAGGAGGAACGAGGTTGCCTCCTCGCTGTCCGGGAACATTGAGCGGGCTGCTTCACGTGAAGCCGCAATCGCCGCGTCGAAGGAGCCAACAGTGGTGGCCGAGAAGGCAGCTGTCGTTCATGCCACATAAGCATCATCGCCAGCTGTTCTTCCACCAGTCGAACGAAGACGAAAGTCGGGGAGCCCCTGCGGTGGAGCCTTCGGTCACCAAAGAAGTTTCAACTCCACCACAGCCGCCGCGATGAAGACCAATGAGTGGAACACGATTGCCGAGTTTGCAATCGATCTTGCGATTGAAGAAGATGGTGGCCTTGTTGCTTCTGTTGCTGTCTTCGACAATGAAAGAGCGACTGCATCGCTAGAAAAACCACAGGCGGGAGGCGTTGAGATAAGAACAACGCAAAATTACATTGCAAATTGGCGGTTCCGAAAGAAAAGATCGAGGCCTGCCGAAGAGGAACAGTGGTTTCCCGTTCTCTCGTTGCTGGTCTCAAGCCCGGAGGTGAGGACATCAGTCGTGGCAGAGCAACCCGCAGAACCCAACGATCCAAATGACGAATGGCCAAACGCCGTGACTGTCAAGGTGCAGACTAGGAGTTCAGAGATCTACTCGATACTGGAGATAGGGATTATGGAGTGGAATTTCCAGGGTTCGTCATCGACTGGTTTTCTGGGGTTCATTGCGCACGTGAAGCCACGAACGGGGCAAAGAGTCCCTATTTCGACGCCAGCTCCAGTATGGGTGTTGGATGCCGAGAAGACGAAGCCGAAGCGAGAAGTAGATCATGTTGGCTGTAGTTCTTCGCCGTCAGGGCAAATCTCGCTGGGGAAGTCGCGATCGGCGACCATCCCAACAATGCTAGATAAGAAGCCAAAGAAGACGTCGGAGGTGGGCGCCCGGTTGACGGGAGCTTCCTTAGCGGCGTCAGTCATCAAGGAGGCGACCTCGGAGAAGAAGCATCCTCCGAAAGACAAGACAGAGTGGAAGGAGGTGGCGGATTTGGGCTGGTCGCCTAGAGAGGAGACGCCGGAGAAAGAGAAGATGATGGAGGCTCTGGTCATGCGGTCGGTGGCATCCCCTGCTGTGGCCGACGAGGGGAAGAAGCGGCTGGCGAGAGAGAAGGAGTTTGAGGGCGGCGGGTTCCCTTTCTCTAAAACCCTAGGCCACCGAAGCAAGAGGTGGATCGGACCACTGGGCCATATGGATGCTCGGTTGGGCAGCAATTTGAGCATAAGCAAGGTGAAAAGGAGCTTAGTAATGGGCCAACATTTGAAGAAGTTGAGCCCAACTTGGGCTGGATTTGAAGAAGGCAAGCTTAGAGGAAGTTCTTGAGTGGGTAGATAGGCTCGCAAAGGAACCAAGCCCACATGAAATTAAGAAGGAGAAGAAGGGCATATCTTTATTTCAACTAATTGTGGGCCAAACTCAAGGTGAAGGAAGAGAAGATTGGGTTATTTTAACCAACAAGCTCATGAAGAAACTTGGGGAGCCCAAGGAAGAATGATTCTCCGATTCTTATTTCGTGGACTTCGAAACAAAAGAGGAGGAATTATTCGTCTATGAAGAACGTGACACATGTCACGTGGACGGAGAAGAGTTGTGGAAAGTGGAAGTTGTTGGAGAAGAGTTCATTCAAGGGATCGAGCGCGATTGGAAACAAAGAAAACGGAAGGTCGAGGAGATAGAAGTCAACTACAACCTTGAGGTCAAGGTTGGTTTCAAGAGGGGTGGATTGCCAGAAACCCGTCCATTGGGGTTTCTCTTATTAATTATTAGTAGGATAATTATAATTATGGTTAGTAGAGATTTAGTCATATTATGATGATTATTACGGTTTCCAGTATTTTCCTATAAATATGTATTTTGGGTTTACGTCATAATAAGTCAAGAAGAATATTAAGAAGAATCTTCTAAACCCTAGTTTATCCTCTCAACTCCTAATTTCTATCC